TAGGTACAGATGACTTCTTCGCTCTATCATGTATCATATTATCATGTATCTCTATCTATATCTCTATCTAAGTCTGTAGAAGAAGATGTGCACCTCATCACAATGTAATATCTGACTATCATGAATGTGTTGCTTGTGTGAGTCCATTTCAAGTAGGTAAAGAAATAATAAATAAGACTTACAATCAATTTAATTTAACTATCAGACGACCGGTTTCGCTTTCTACAATATGCAAAGCATCCTCAGGTCTCGACACAAAGTTAAACAAATGATGCCGGTACTCTATTAATTGATGGATGGTAGAACGTGGTTGAAACTACTATGTATTGTTGAATGGAGAACTCAATTCTGTTATTGCAGTTGTTTGACAGTAAACGGGAAGTTCTTGAGGAGATAGATTTGATCCAATGAAGAAGAGATATGTGTGTGATTGTTTGTTAAATGAAAGTGATGTAATATACCATTGTATTACTAAAAGTTATTTATACTTATTCGAGAAATATATTTATGAAATGTGTGTTATTTATTGAGTAATTGTTTTATGAAGGTAACAGTTTTATGACAATGAATAAGTTTAGATGTAAAAATTGTGTGGGTGTGCAATTATGTTTCAACTTGTAGTTATCAAATTACTTTGATAAAGTTCTATTGGCAATTAGTAAATTATTGAAAAGTCAAGTAAATAAAAAATTGGAATAAAAACAATTAAGGACAATTGAAATACACTAAAACAGAAAACACTTAGAAGGGACGAAACAAACATTAAATTTAAAAGAGGGGAAGGACTTTAATGCACTACATCCAGTCTTGGGCACAATGAGTTTTTTTGTGCCCAAGACTGAGACTTTAACTGCAGTTAAATATATCGTTTTAGAAAGCAAAACATACATCAATCAGAAAGAATAAAAAAAACACTACCAAAGAGACTACCAATATGAAGAATCTATTAAGCTGTCAGTTCAATAAAGTACTGAAATATTTAGAAGACATTAAATTTTACAATATTTAAAAGATATTTAAATTATATATTTTGTAAATACATTTAAAACATTTAATTTGCGTTGTACTTTCCGCTAATCACAATAGTTGATGTAGATTTATTTTTGTTTCAATAAAATATAAACAAACACTATTTTCGTAATCGTACCATTCTGCGATTTGCCGTACAGTTCATCTTAGTCAAACGTTGATTTGTTATGTCTGATTCACTAGAGTCTGTTTCGAGAAATATCGGTTTTGCGGTCATAACTCACTACCACTCGTGTTGTTTAATTCCGAAATTAAGCGTAGCTGTGATTGCACATACATATTAATAGCCGCAGCGTAGCATAAATTTTTCAGCGCACAATCTAAATCAAAAAACCAATTTATTACAATTCTCCCAAACGAAGCCGTCATCCGAAAACATTGATTAACGCTTCCACAAACATCCACAGACGAATTTGGAACTATCACCTACATCAGTGTCTATTGTAGTAATGATTTCCAATCAATCAACGCTATCAAAGTCATAACCGCAGTCTACATGCCTTGGATCCGTATTTGCAGAAGACCAGCCCGGAGCGCAGCTAGTGATGATAAGCGCTGTTTTATTGGCTCGGGTCAGTTTTTGTTTGCGTTCGCCGCCATCTTCATTAATGACTTTAGTTAATTACCAAATGTTTAGCGTTGTCAGTAATGTAGCGAACTTATGTTATCAAACTGACACAGTTACGGCGAGATTAAATTTAAATATCTACTCTATTGATTGAAATGAGGAAGTTTAGTCGGTGTGTAGAGCGTATGTTTGTGGCCGAATGTCAGTATAATTAATCTAGAATGTTGTGTTGATAAATTTCCTGATATAACACGAATTTCTGCCTAAAAACGGCCTAGTTCTATTTACTATACGAACCAAGCGAGCAGGGGTTTCTGCGCATTCAATGTGTATTGAGCTTTAACTAACCTATCGTCGCTGCCGCATAAATATCTATGTGTTGAAACCTAAAATTTTCAGGAGACAAAGAAAACACATTTTTGTAAAAATAATACAACTTAATAACATTTTATAGCGTTATAATTATATTTTTTGTAACCAATGTAATTTTGAAACAAAAGTTTAATATTTAAAGAAAAACATACACACCAATTTTTAATATACTTGAAAATGAAACATAGGAGGGTTAACTAAGTTTAATGTTTATTTTTTTGTTTTTTTATCGGGCTGGTAAGGTAGGTTATCATAAAAACTATGATGATATCTTTCTAACACGAGTTTAAGATCTTGTAGGCATTTCCATTTCGATTCGGTTCTTGGAATAGGACGTAAATATAGCGGGGTTGGTCTTTGAATAATGTTAGTTTTAGTTTTCGTTGTGGGTTGTGGTAGTAGCTTATATGGGTCGGAATGCCGTAGTTTGAATAAAATCTCTCCGTCAGGACGATATTCTATAGCTCGCAGGTCAGTCACGGTTGGATCTCCCGCCTTCTTTTCGGGTCGCAGTGACTGAATCTTACTTGACAATTTCTCAAAATTAAAAAAAAAGCTGTAGTCCAAAACTTTAATATTATTAGGTTGTTTTGGACGCGCATTTCTCATTTGAGCTATGTAGTCACTAGGAGAATTTATGGGAGGTAAAAAATATTTTTCAAGTATAGCATGAACTCTGTCGCATTTCATCATTTTATGGTCTTTCTCAAAGAACAGCTGTTGCAGTAAATTATTTTTCTGAATTGCCAAATCGCTTAAAGAGCTATTACCTTATTGCGATTTTAATAATTACATTCATCGTTTATAATTGTAAATTTTTTGTATATATCTTATTTTGATGAAAGATAATCCACAATACATTATGTAAACTCGTTAGAAGATACGCCGCCATTTGATTCATGCCACACATATAATAAAACATCTTTATTGTTCAATACAAAAATTGTTAAATTGTGAAGCTAAAGTTTTTGGTTATAAAACATTCTTGAAGTTTCATTCTTGGGGCAGAGCAAAAGACTTTGGAGATCTATAGTCAAGACTAAGTGCGAATCATCAGTTTCCGATTTAGCTGCATTTTTCGCCTCTCTTGGTTAATTTTTCATCACGATATGGTTCTGTTACACATCTAGAGCAACAGTTTTTATTTCATACCCGCAAAATACATCGAACTGGTCTTTGCGAGGCTTTTGTAGTGTAATATTTTTATTTTTTAGTACATCCAAGAAAACATTCTTAAAACGCTTTAAATTGTATTTTGTTTGCACCACTCTTCATACACACTGTGCATATGTGATAAAGACCTAAAGGTGGATTCAACGTATGTACAACTAGTAAAGCTTCTGCAGTAATGGCTTGGAACCTTAGGAAGTAATTCCTAATTTCTTCCTTCTAGTCTGGGCATTTTCTTCGATCGAGGAGATGAAACACCTTTATCGCCAATACTTCCTTCTGAATCTTCACTAGCTGCAGTATCAACTTCGCTTCTTCGCACCCATCTTCTGATTGTGTCTTCCCCTAAATTTAATGTATTGATGAAGAACAGCCTACAAAGCTCCCCTTTTTCCCCATTAAATGAATATTAGTAAATTATAACAAAACATGTAAAATTACGAAAAAAATATTATTTCTTGTTCATCTTATGTTCCTGAAAAAACAAGGAATACAATAATTCTTTTTACACCCATTGCATTGCCAAAACTGATCGGGAACACGTATTCGCATCAGTGTTCGTGTCATTTGATTCTTTTAAGGCCTTATAACACAAAACACAACGGTTTCGTTTATGGTGTACTAAAACATGTTCTAGTTGTTCTATATCATCTGCTTTTTTCGTTCTCCATGTGGTCCACACGATGTTTACCAAATAATAACCTTGCAGCTAACAGCTGTCTGTATTCCGTTATTTGAATTATTTCGTGTTTTACCTCCTTATATATTAAAAAGGAATTTACTAATGCACATCCCAAAAATCAGTTCAACTGCTAATTTTAGGTACCACTTATTACCTCGTCTAAGGCAATGAGAGTAAGACTTGAGTTGATCTGATAAATCAATGTAGCTCTTGCACCTGTTGTAACTAACGACAGCGGTTGGTTTCCCTATTTCACCTCGTCTGTTCTTTATTTTTTGGTGTCTGCTTGATGTTTTGTCGTAAGCAGCATCACGTCACGTTTGTCTTTCCACTTTAGCATTAGTGTACCAGTAGAACTTTCTTCAGCAACAATTTCATTTTTTTTTTAATTTAGTATTAACCACTTTGGGAGAATTGAGTTTACGATTAGCTCTTACAGTGCCAACTAGGTGTGTATCTCTTTCTTATAACTTGGTTGCAGGACTCACACTTGTGTAATAGTTGTCGGTGTATAAAGTACGCCCACAGTCAAGTAGATTTTCCATCAAATGCCACACAACTCCTGCGGAAGCACTACCATCATCAGTCTTATCATTATCAGAATACACTTTGAAATTGTATGTGTACCCACCTATAGTACATAGTTTGTACAGTTTTAGGCCAAACTTGTGCCGTTTGTTCTTTATATTTGCCTAAATTGTAGGCGTCCTCTAAACGGCACAAGTGTCTCATCTATGCATACTTCTTCACACGGCACGATTACTGCTTGAAACTGTTCAATTAGCTTCTCGAGAAGTGGAGTAATTTTTCTTAGCCGATCATTTACTACAGATCGGTCATTATTGTCGCTAAAGTGCCACATCTTTAATAGCTCTTCAAAACGATCTCGAGACATTATACTTTTTATCAAATTTGTATACAAAATGTCGTTACTCCAGTATGCTTTTATTCGAAGATATTTAACTAATCCCATCCACATAATAATGCCAAAAAATTTTTCCATTTCAGAAGTATTTGTGGGAACCCACTTCTTTTTGTGTTTCCTCTTATTTGACGGTATAATATAATTTTGTAAAACCTGCTGTGCATAAGATTTTATTCCGTCGTTTTCTACACTTTAATCGAATGTTTTCAGCGACGTTCCATCAACTTCCCTCCACTGAAATTGCTCGATATGACACACTTCTTCAGTAATTGTGGCCATATGAATTACTTCGTGTATAGTTACATCAATAATATTTGTTTGTTGTTTAACAGTCCCTGTTCCTTGGATTGAAATAGGTTCATGTGAACCAGATTCCAAATCTATCTACAAAAAGTTTACCTGTTTATTGTTGACAAAATAAAAATAAAGTTCAATAACTTACGGTTGCATAAACCACATTAGAAGTACCTTCTCCAGATTTTTCATCATTTTCCTTGACACGCTTTTTGGGAACTGGCTCCTCGCAACCATTAGAAGAATACTCATTGGAAGATTCAGGTTCATATTCTTCTGACAAATAAACATCGGCAAATTCGCTTGCATTGTCCTCATCCGACACAATCTCATCCCAAACAGAGCTTGCAGACGGCTCTGTTCTTTTTCATAATCTTCCATATTGCAATAAATGGCACGATAACAACACTCCATCAGCAACAACTAATAACAACTAAGACTACTTCTAACTAGATACAGAATACAAAACGATCTGCAAATTCAGTCACCCCACTACTGTTCCAAGAACCATGAATATGCATTTGGCGCGAAATATAGCGTGTAGTACGCGCAACAAACCACGCCGGCTGGAATAAACAAATTAATCCTTGGCCGGCGTGAAACAAACGTTGTGCCACAAAGTATATTCTAAAAAAACTTATGATATATCGAAAATCAAACAAGAAAAATTACTGTGACATGTTAATTAAATAAAAATGAATCTAGATATATAAAAAAATGCCGACTGGCCAAAGTACGGACCAAACATAGCACTTAACCATTCTTTGCCTTAGTTCTAAACTGAGATGGGTATTGCAAAGAAATGACTTCATTTTCATAAAAGTAGTTTTGGTCATTGCTATTCTACGTTTTATTTCTGTGTCTGGATATAGTTGGTCCGTTATCACAGTTCCCAAATATGTCATTTTGTGAACTTTCATTACTTGGACTCCGTTTAATTGAAGCTTTGCATCCGGATGTGGGTCACGACGAAACACTAACGGCCACAAGAATCAATTGTTTCATCCACATATACATAAAAATAATTATCTTCTTTATCTAATTTTAATTTTACTACGGGAAAGACCTCGTTTCTTTTTAAGTTTCTTTAACATGGAATATTCCATTTGCAGTATTTTCTATGAAACATGTGCTTCGTTTGATCATTTGGATAAAGGTATATTTGTGCTTGTACAATGCTTCGCACAAAAATCATAGTTAACAGGGTGTACAATAAGTTTTGTGGTTCGATAAGAAAAACACAATTCTATGGTTTAAAATACATTTGTTCCAATGAGATTCCAATGTATGAATTCCATCCTGAAGGGAGAATCTAGAAATATTCTTCCACAGCTGTTATGACCTAATCATTTGGTGTGTTTGTTGCAGTATCTGGAATTGTATATTTGAGAATCTCTGTGTTGGTAATTATTGCCACTCCTATTCCATTTTAGTTTAAGTTTAGTTTAAATTGTATTAGTTCTTCCCATAACTAAGAGGTTAATTGATAGGATTGAATTCGTTAATTGTGATAAGTACTGCCTCCTTCTGTTGTGTTTGTAATTTTGGCGGGATGAGAATATTTAATAGGGATCATCTAGTTCATTTATATGTCATGAGGGTCAGTTAATAACGTCCTTTATTTTCTAGACTTTAGACAATTTAATACTATGTATTTTGTCCTGTTATTTTTTGAACTTTTTCCAGTCCGATGACATATTTGTGCTGCCGTGTATTCTAGATATGTACGGGTGGTCCAATAAGCCGATGTCTCGGCTATATATCGGAAAGTATTCATGTTATAACTTTAGGAGAAAAAATTCCTTAGTAAAAGTGGCCAAGAGAAATCGCTGGAAATAACTTTCAAGATTCTGGATTAACCGCTAGGGGGCGTAACCTGCGAAGAAAATTTTGAAAACCAGTTTTATGGGAAATATGTCCAATTATACCAAGTGTTAAATAAGTAAACTAGAAAGAGGCATAAATTCTGCACAAAGTTGTTCAAGTACTTTTTTTTATTTTTTCAAATAAAGGGTGGGGGGAGAGTGGGAAAGTATTTGTGGATAAATACCTATAACTTTGGTTTGGATCAACCGATTTTAACAAAATTAGTGTCATTAGAAAGAGTATGGATAAAATAATTTACATTTACTATGAAATAATTGCATTTAGTTTTAATTGTCGTAGGTAGAGGGTACTTTCGAATAGAAAATTGTTTGTCAAATACTTGAACAACTTTGTGCAGAATTTATGCCTTTTTCTAGTTTACTTATTTAACACTTGGTATAATTTGACATATTTCCAAAAAACTGGTTTTCAAAATTTTCTTCGCAGGTTACGCCCCCTAGCGGTTAATCCAGAATCTTGAAAGTTATTTCCAGCGATTTCTCTTGGCCCATTTTACTAAGGATTTTTTTCTCCTAAAGTTATAACATGAATACTTTCCGATATATAGCCGAGACATCGGCTTATTGGACCACCCGGTATTTCTGCCAGGATTCTTGTTTGCTTTTTTTGTGATTTCCTTTAGCTCTACATTTTTTGAACTCGGTTAATAGATGAATATTTTTGTACTTTTTGTCTCGGTTCGAAATTGTTTTACATTGTGAATTATATGAATGTGAGGGTTTTTGCATAATCCCTAATAGGAGATCATTCAATTTATTGTAATTTTAGTAAATAGCTATGTTTTTTCGACATTCTGTTCATACCATCTCTACTTCTAGCGTTGTTTTTCTCTACTTTTTTGTTTAGCTGTAATGACTGTGGAAATTCGATATCTATTTCACTCAAGATTAGAACATGCTTATTGATAGTTATCAATCCGTACTGTATATCGGATATTTTGATAATAAAGTAAACTATCTCTTAATCGAATCGCTGCCCTTATTAGATTTCTTATAGTAGAAACACTTTTTTAGAATCAACAAAAGTACTAGAAATGTTTTATCTCACAAAATTTTCCACTCCATCTCTGTCGTATCAACTACTTCACGATTTAGTGAGCACGCCACTTCTAGAAATAAAACAAAAGCACCCCTATCGATCATTTTCTCAACCTAATTACTCCGAGACATATACTAGTAGCTATTGGATTGGAGTTCGTATCGATGACATTTTTGTTAATAGTATTTATATTTGTCACGGTTATAATACTATTACCGTCATAATAGTCATAAAATTAAATGTCAAATAAGGGTGGCTTACAAAAGAAATTGTCTTCACACACAATTTATGGGTATATAACAATTGGTTCATTCAGAGAGCACATTATTATTACTAACGTTATTGCGAATATGTTATGGCTTAGATATCACAGTCTTGCACGTGGAAAACTTTAACTTAATTTAAAGGTATTTTATACAAAAATCCAGAAGTATTAATGTTTTTGTCTACACAAATACAAGTAACTTGAGAGCAAAAAAGTTAAATGCAAATTTATGTCACATATGTGACGCCCTCTATGAGCTACATTAAAGTGTGCAATAAATTATAATTTCTTATATTTAAATGTACCCAGTTGTAAATTTTTATACATAAATGTTTACAAACATGAAAGTTATAGCGAAAAATAAAATTGTAAATTTGTACTTTAAATTCTAAATTAACAAAATCCACAAGGAAAAAATTCCTGTAGCTATCTGTATACCACGTATCACAAAAAGAGGTTAGTCTTTGTAAATGGGTATATTTATTTAAAAAACCCTTAAAAGGGCTACATCAATAAAACAAACGTTTTCGGACCACACAGTCCATCATCAGGTTTTAAAATCGAAAATGCCTAAAAATAAGTATGAACCATTTAGTTAAAACAAACGAGATTATGAAATTTTGACTATGGTTGAAAAGCAAAAGATGGTTATACTTACTAGGTCACAATGCCTGAGCCACCAAAATACTAAATTAAAAACCCTTTAAATTACATTTAGTTATAAAAGATTGTACATTGTGTTGTAAAATAACTGTTATGTTCAATATTAAATTAAATTTGACTAGAGGTAACACATGGCTGAATCGAGTTACCAGAGCCGGTGAGAGAGAACCTCTACACGCGGAGAACAGCTGGGAACTGATTGACAAGATACTTATGAAGGATGACGAAAACAGAATGTCAATGCAACAAAAACTATATTAGTTTTACATAGTATTACTACAGCCAAAAGATTCAACAAGTTTTGATGATTTTAAAAATAACAACAATCTAGGTGTTAGGATTTAAAAAACTTTTTTATTTATTAATTTAGGGTATAAAAGATGTGAAATCAATGATGGTTTTATAGTCGAGATTAATAGAATGACCTGTGCCTTAGGCAACTTATGTTGCTTTTTGTCGTATGGAATGTGGTCTAAAAGTGTATTTTATGTTTGGATTAGCTTATATCTATGAAAATTATCCTTTTATGTTTATCACATCTAGGACAAGGTAAAAATTAAATAACAAATATTTGAAGCTAATATCAGACCTCATATTTAAATGACTTTATTTAAGTCTGCTCCTATGGTGAAAAATTAATAAAATTAAGTTTAGTAAGATGGAAATCTACAGGCTGAAGAAATTAAAGTAGTAACCTATGTGATTGAATTTAAAATTGAAGAGGCTGGGTTTCCTCAGAGACTAATGAGAATAAAAGTAAAGGAAATGACTGAAGAAAAGGAGAGAGAGGGCGATTGAAGGAGAAAAGGAGTTAATCAACAATTAGAGATAAAAGGGGTCCTTTATACTTAAAGTATCTAGCACCCTGAACAAAATCTATTTTGGTGGTATTAAATTCAGTTTGTAGAAACCTGAAATTTGTTGTATAAGTGTGCTACTAAGTTGTTGACAGGGAGAAGGTGGACAATGGTAGATAAGGATTCTTTGTAATATGGTAGATTGTGAATTTTAATAAATTGTTAGATAATGTTTAAGTGATTACTAAATTAAAACTATTGGATACATGTTTGATATATGAATTGACCAAGAAATAATGAAAGAGAACAGAATTTTTTTTTCTAAATTAACACTCTATATCTTTCTTAATATCAACATTTTATTAAGGGCAATTCCAGCAATAATCAACACAAGTCGGTGGGGTCACCCTCTCCTATCTGGCTGAAATTTTACACACATGTGGTACTAGACGAAAAAACATGATTGTCAAATTTTCAGACTTTAATATTCAAAATGGCGGCCGTAGCTTACTATTGAAGTTTCACGCTTTTAATCAATTTTTTTCGTGTTTCGCCGATTTTTTTTAGTACAGCGAGCTAAATATGCTTAAACAAACATTTACTATATGGTTTCCAATGTAAAATTTTCTGCTGAACAAGATCCCGGTGTCAGAATTGACATATGACGTCATGTAAAGCCACAAAATGCGAAACAAAGCGCTTTTTTTTTTAATTCATATCTCAAAAACACCCTCTTAAATTTTTTTTCAAATTTTTACAAAAAAGCCTTAATACAAGTACTTTCGAATAAAAGTTGTCTCAGAAATCCTTCTTATATGTTTGAAGCCGCTGCGCCCTATAAAAGTCCAAAAAACGCGCCTTTTTTAGCGCTTTTCCTTCTTTTTCAGCTTCCAAATAACTTTTAGAGATTTTCTAACAACGAATTCGAATTCTACGGAAAATTTACACAAAAAATGACTATTTTGAATTTATTTACCACCGATTTTACCGTTTTATAAGGGGCGACACAATATTAAACGCAGAATTGCGCGTTGTAATCAATACATTTTTTGCGTTAGGATTTTATTATTATACATATTATAATATTTGTTCGTCTATATACACAAGGGTGTGTGTGATTTTAACTGGGTAACTGCCCATATTTTTAAACATAATACCAGGCACATCTGAATGTAAATATCGATTAGAATATTAAAACTTTGTATTATTATACATCTCCGTCATTGATAAGTTTGCAGTAATACCTGCTCCTGGTAAAGTAATTCTATTTTAATTTTTATTGCCTGCTTTTATTATAAATAAGTATATTTTTACACAATCTCGCCGAAATAAGAGGCGACTGTACGAGTAGTGACACCAGAAAGAACTAGGGTTCATTGATATGAATTACTTCATCCTATATTTTTATGGTTTAAAAATCGTTCTTTATTAGGACGATGGTAACTTTGTTTGAGCAACTCTACACCTAGTCATAAAGTAAATACGTTAGAAGTGGATCTATTAATTTTTAAATCAACAAGTCGACAAATCAACTTGTATATATCTATACAAATCCCTCGTATACGAAGTCTTTGGGTGGTAAAGTACTCATAAAATACATCAAGCTGTCTAGACATGGTCATAAAGTGTCCGGTCGATTTTCACATATTTCTCGTATTATGATAGTCTTCAATCTGCTTTATCGTGTCTCCAGTTGTATTATTACCATAATCCTGACAATCTGAGTATTATATGTAACATATTCTGTCTGATATCCTTTTTGCATAATGAAATTCATAAAATTTGGTTTTTTGATTGGTTTATGGAATAATATTTCAAGTGAAGTATGTTAAGATTAAAAATATATAAAACATGCACAACAATTTACATAAGCATGTAAGCTTAAATAATATGGAGAGATGGTACTGGAAAACATTTTAGAGTTTCATTATGATATCATATTAAAGTTTGCGCGATAATAAAATTTCTATCAGAAGTGTGATTACTATATGAGTTGAAGAAAATATATAAATTAGCAAATTTTGGTTTTCCTATTTTGGCGTTTGCGATTCTGTTTTTTCTGTTTCTCTGGAAGTCTTCTGTTATACAGCGATCGTATTGTAATCATCCCTTATATTGGTATCGGATATCATTATGCTCTTTCTTGGCCAACGTGCAGCGACAGCCTGAACATCTGGTTGTCATATCCTTTTTCTTTTTTTGGTATGATTCTCCAGGGGTGAAATTGGAGCACTTCCAACTAACCTGTACATCCCCTACCAGGATTGCTTCATCGTGACGGACAACGATGTTTGCTAAGAACAGTTGTCCATTCTGATGAAAACGGTTTCATTTTTACTGAGCATCCTTTTAAACTACCGTGTTCTATATTTTTCGTGCTTCTCTGATCTACTGGTATTAGATCTACTCTGCTCTACTTAGGTTGTTCGTAAGTAGCTTTACTGCCTTTACAAAATCTTGGTCTGTCCAACCGTTGGCTTTCCAGAGCAGCTAGCTCTTACTGGCTAAATTTTCATCTATAGACTTCAATCCAGTCAGAATGATAATAGAGGGATGGTATAAAATACCTCAGCTCCAGAATACCCAAGCCAACATCCGTAATGTGTATGTAAAAAAAGGATCGTTTGATAAAGAGTTTTGTTAATAATTTAGCTCATCGTAGTTGATTCAGATGCTAACTTAAAGCCTCTGCAAGCCATACAGCATCATTTGTAGAGAATAACATTTTACGCTGATTGGCATTTCTAAGACTGACACTTTATTATTTCGTTTAAAGTCATACCCTTGTATTTAAGAAAACCCTCAGTGTCATTCTCTCAATAGTATCTTCTTCTTCTTTCAGTGCCTATTCGTTCCGAATATTGGCAATCATTCTGGCTATAATTATTTTATTGGCTGATGCTTTAAATAGATTCGTTGTTGTTGTAGAAAACCATTTCCTCAGGTTCTTCAACCATGATATTCTCCTTCTCCCAATTCCTCGCTTTCCGAATACTTTACCCTGTAGAATTACCTTCAGTAATCTGTATTTAGTGCTGTTTCTCATTATATGTCCGAGATATTCCAACTTTCTCCTTTTAATGGTATACATCACCTCTCTTTCTTTGCCCACTCTTCGTAATACGGTCTCGTTGGTTGTCTTGTCTGTCCATGATATCCTTAGAATTCGCCTGTATAGCCACATCTCGAAGGCTTCAAGTTTTTTCTCCATTGCTTCAGTTAGTGTCCAGGATTCAACTCCGTAATAAAATATTGAGAAGATATAACATCGTAGGAGCCTTACTTTTATCTCCAGATTAAGACTGTGGCTTTTAAAGAGTTTGGCCATGTTATTGAATGCACTCCTAGCATTCTCTATTCTACATTTTATTTCCTGTGAGTGATCCCATTGTTCATTTACTGTTGTTCCAAGATAGTTATACTATTTTACTCGGTCCACTGGTGTATTATTGATAAGTAGTTGAGCGTCTCTAACTTTTATTTTTGCTGATGATCATAAATTTAGTTTTTGTTATATTTACTTGAAGTCCAAATCTTTCACTTACTTCATTTACTTTGTTTATTATCAATAGTATCAACAGCTATATTTTGCTCTCAGTACTCTAAGGACAAAGTATTGTGACATCGAATCGAAGGCATTCGATGTATCCAGCGAGACTACATTGAACCCTGTCCCCCTCAACCTGAGTGATTTGATGTAGTAATAATAATAGTATTTTACCGCTGGCATAATATTTCGGTGAGATCAGCTCCAGGCGAGACGCATAAAGGCGTTGCATAAACCATCTATGCAACGAATAGATAAATTTTTGCGGACAGAAAATATAGAACTAATCGTTTGCTATTAACTAAAAGCAAAAATATGTATTAAGGTTAATATCCAATCTAAACTCTGAGAACTGTACAGTAAATTTTTTTCACCCGAATTGGTAGACACAAGTCTCATAACTATAGACTAAAGTGTATATTCTGAAGTGTTTATTTAGTATTTATGAACATTTGAGAATATTATTATTTTTAAAATTAAGTGTTGTTAAATGCCCCCCTCTATATCTATAAACTCACATACCTCTACTTCTATTTCTACTCTAGCTTCTTTTTTATTATTAATTGCACCAAAACTTGCAACTCTACCAGAGTTTCGGTGTTGATGTAATTTCCCACAGCTTTTTTTTAAAGCGAATGCGTAAATATGATATGTCTTAATGATTTTGGATATGTTGTATCCGTAATCTTGGCTCATCTCTAATAGGTCTGGAAAGGTTGCATCCATTCCTATGAATTTTGATTACTGAAATGTATTTATTAACCACTTCATTTGTCTGCTTCTGCATGTGTGCTTGATCATTCAAGTAACCCATCTGGTTCGATTTCTAAGGAACAAGTTCGCTTTCTGGGAAGACCTTTCAAATACGGGTATTGTTTTTTCCTTATTCACTGCATCGGTATTATCAGGCTTGCATAGAGACATTGTCAAGTCTACCTCTTGTCACAACTGTGTAGTTTATCTGTAGTAGGAGACGGGTGGATTTATATGCAGTATTTTTTTAAAGTCTTTTCTTTTCTTGGTCTACTTATGAAGAATGATGAGAGGACAAAAGAGATGAAAGAACTAATAAAAACCAAACACATTCAGAAGGAAACATGAGCAGATTAATTTCGATTCCTATTTGCTACAGGTGACTACCAAATAGATAATGAACCAAGATAATGAAGAGCCCAAGACCCAAAGATAATGAACCACCAAAACCAGAAGTGTCGACAAACGAAGAAATAAATATTGGAGAGGAAGAGGTAAAGGAAGCATTAACACATTAAGCGCCACCATGTTGACGCTGTTGGCCACTTGCATCGATTTGGATTCAGCATTATAAACCATAAAATCCGGACCTTACATTCAAACAGAAAAAATAATCCTTCTGACATTGTGAAAGCAAAGTTAGAGAAGTATCAGTCTATGACTTTATAAAGCACCACAGGTTGTACTGTTTTAACATGGAAGGACAAAAAAGATGTCTTGGTGATTTCAACAAAGCAATGGAATGGCTCCTGTAAGATGTGGCGAGGAAATAGAAAAACCGATAATTATTTTAGAGTACAATAAATGTAAAGCATTTATAGATCTTTTTGATCAACTGAAGGCACATGCTACTAGTTTACGAAAAGGCATTAAATATTATTAAAAATTAGCAATAGAATTACTAACAGGAATTACGCTAATAAATGCGTATTGTGTACATCAGATCGTAACGAAGAAAGAAAAAAATGTTCAAAGAACAAGCTTTTAACCGTTTCAAAAGTTTTAGAAAATTCATTATAAATTTGATTATTTTTTTTTAATAAAACTACTAACCCCACCTATCTGCCAGGCGCTTGTATTCGACTTAAGGTTTCTACGGTAATTCCCATCCGATAGATGAGAACGATATTAACTTCAATCACGCCCCCCAATTCAAAACCGTTGAAATAGCGTCGCTTCCTTTCTTGTTACAAACGTCCACCCGATAGGACGCGTTTTCGAAGTGAGTTTCTAGATTAGAGGTAAGCTACAAAGAAAAGCTTTTTCTTGTCTATATTATATATATATATATATATATATATATATATTATATATATAATATCTATATATATATATATATATATATATAGAGGAGAAGGTGGTAATATGGACCCCCATTTTGATTTTTTATTGTAAAATTGATATTATTAATAAAAAACAGAGATTGTTAGCTTAGTTACGATATGGTGTTAGTTACCGAACACATTGTAATAGTTAAAGCGGTTTTAAGACTTCATTTTACATTTTTTTTAAATAATTTTTTAAAAGATGACACATTCATCAGAAAACGGGATGTGCAGTTAATATGGCCCCCATGGTGTTTGTAATATGGACCCCCTTATTAATTTAAGGAAATATTGGCAAATTCTGAAAATTATAACTGCATTGAACAAAAAACCTTTTTATTATACATAAGTAGATAGAGTGTATATATAAGTAGATACAGCATAATATGTATGTATAGGTAGATATAGTCTAGTCTACAAAATTAAAATGTACTACATGGTAATAATGGACGAACAACGACAGAAATCGCAGACGTACTCATCCTTCTCTGCCCCTGCACATTCGTTATGTGCCCACAGTGAACACATGAGACACTGAACCCATAGTTCCCCCCGCACGCTGTTGGTGAACTTTTCATCACAAAAAATACATGATGCGTCAATTTGGTTTGGTTGAGGCTCTCCAACTGATAGATCAAAAGGTGATTCACCGGAGCAAGTGGAGAGCTGCATCCCGTCATCATCATCATCATCATCGTCGTCGTCACTGCTGTCAGCTGGACGTTTGTGTTTAGGGTTGTTCTTCTTTGATTTTCCAGCGTTGGCACGTGGGGTACAGTCAGACTTGGCTGCTTGTCCTTTAGGGCTAGCTTGAGGCCCAGAACAAGACGGTATGGGGTTATCAAACGTCACAGCGCTAGTTTGAGGTCCGGGACAAGATGGTATGGGGTTAACAAACGTCAAACTTCGAGTGACACTTGTTGAAGCACCTCTTCCAGTGCCTTTCCCAGCTTCTTTTTTTGCCAGAAAATCTTCTAGCTCTCTTTTATAAGGAGAACTAGTAATGACGTTTGCGATGCAGGGTTTTCGTCCACGGTCTGATTTTTTATTTTTTTCTGGAACGGGTGAATGTCTTTAGGAGACACAGCGAAGGTTGTTGGTGGATGAGGATTGACTTCAACTGCAGGAGTGTCATGCCGTCGGTTATCAGTGTTTTCAGCCTGATTTTCGTTTGGTGCCTCCTCCTCCCCTGCAATGAATTCATGGTCTTGAAAAATATTTCTTTCCAGGGGGTAAATACCTGTGACCCAGAATAAATTTACAGCGTTTACTCCTGTGGTACATCGGAGGTACGCCTTTCCCAAAAAGGACGTAATATCGTAAGGCCCAACAGATCTACTTTCATGAAGCATCCACTGTCGGATATTTTCACTGTAGTGAGTCTTTAAAGCTCCCATAAAAGTGCGGTCTAGTGATTGCAATTTATGTGTTGTGTGGGATGGTAAGGACAATATCGTGATGTAATTTTTCCTTGCCAAATCGATCACATCAATGTTTCTTGTGTGCGAAAAGTGACGGTCAAGGATAAATAGTATGGGCGAGGTCTCTGTTGGATTTGTTTTTTCATTAAAATGAGCTAACCAGTCTCTAAACAGATTTGATTGAACCCACCCAGACGGGTGAGCTCTTCCAATTGACCCAGGAGGAGCTCCTTTCATAAAGAGATCAGACATGTTTATCCTTGGGAAAATCAACATCGGAGGGACATAAGATCCTCCTGCACTCATTGAACATATGACTGTGACCAAAGATCCACGTTCTGCCGCAGTTAGAAAACATATTTGGCGTTTACCTTTACTGGCAATAACTTGTGGTATTTTTGTCTAAACTACACTCAGGCCCGTTTCATCCACATTCCAAATACGGTCACCTGGGTATTTGTGTTTTGAATATTCGGACTCCAGCAAGTCATAAAAGGCATTAACTCTTTCACGAGTAAAACCTTTTGCACGAGCATATGATGTTCCAGTTGGCTTTCGGATTGACAACTTGTCTTTGTGTCGTCTAAGGAAACGGTCCAACCAAGCCCTGCCAGCAATTTCGTTTCTAAAGTTGGTTTGAATCCCATTTCTAATTGCTAGTTGGTAAGCCATTCGACGAACATCCAAAGCGAGTGAACCCGTAAAATTTTGCCTCCATATACTTCAGGTACTCCACTAGTTCATTTTCCAGTTCTTCAGGTATAGCTGGTTTTCTACCTAGCTTTTTTGTGTGAACTTCAGTGGCTTCAGATGTACTTGCCTCTTTAACATATCTTCTTAAAGTGGTCTTAGGCACATCAAAATGTTTAGAAGCCTTTTTAACACCCATTTTCTTTTCAGTGACAGCTGCTACTGCTTCTTTCATTTTGTCCTTGTCCCAAATTTGCCTTTTTCTGGCTGGTTTAGGTGTTAAGCTGATTCTAGGCATCTGAAAAATAAAAAAACCACAAATATTTAAACTGCTTGTAATATGGACCCCGGGGTCCATATTACCATTACCTAGGGGGGCCATAATACGCACATCTCCAAGTTTAAAACACGTGGTTACAAGATAAAATGTAAAAGACTTAGAACATTCTAGTCTGTGTTAAACTGTAGGTAATAACCTCTAATTCATATGCACGATACTTAGAACTAAGTTATTATTAGTTATGGTAAGTTAAAATCAAGAAATTTACATACCTTTCAAAGTTTTGAAGATTGACCAAAACACAAACTACTGCACAATTACTGAGTGACTGCACTTAATGGCTCACAGCGCTCCTACCGGCCAGTTGGTATACTAGTGAACTAGTTCCAGCGTTCTCCACTAGATTTCAGTACTTTTTTATTAAAATACGGAGGGGGGTCATAAAATATGCAGGGGCCATATTACCACCTTCTCCTCTATATATATATTATATATATTATATATATAATATATATATATATATATATATATATATATATATATCCGATTTTTTAGGCGTTACGCCCGTCCGGTAGGGATCTATGGAGGAGTATCACAGAGCCGCAAGCCCTTATCTCTTGCCGTACTGCTCTACCATAGGCCGATCAGATCCCAGCATATCCTAGTCTAAGCCGCAGATTCATCTAGAATTTTAAACTGCTGCGTTAGACTTTTTGTTTTCTGTACACCGAGCTGGGGCTCGAACCCACATCCACTGAACCATTCGACAGTGAAGCGAATGAGAGGCAGCCGCACAGCCCGGTGAGCTATCTGACCGACTATTCTTGTCTATATTTCAGATGAATAATTATTTTCAGACTCTTTTCCGGAGGTTAAAGTCCATTGATTATGTTAAGTTAACTGAGACAGTTTCTTATGGTCCAATACTTCCCTATATATGGTTTCCAATAATTACCTATTATATAAATGGATTCTTATTAGTAAATATTTGATGAAATAACCAACGGATGAGAAGAAGCAGAGTATGTCCCTTTTTTCCTGGTTCCCAGAGATTGGATAAATAAGGTTTTACCTTTTTTTTTATTAAGCCCTAGCAGGAACGCGAGAATTATTTATGGATTCACAGAGACGAGAATATAGTGAAATATTTTAAATTTTGTTTAAAGACTTAACCTTTCTATTATGCCTAGTTAATAAATAGATTTAACTTTTCTATGTTGCCTAGTTAATAAATAACTACTATAATATTTTAAATGT